GTATTACAGGTGTATATTCCATTTAATCCCCATGGGGGACCAAAATTCAAGTTCCCTGGTAAAGGATGCAAACATCTTAATCATCATCCTTTTTTCCTGCTCTTAGAAATGAGAAAAGATTAAGGATGTATTTATAGGTAAGCCACATCTTCTGCATCTACTTTTGATTTTCCTTTGCTTTGCTTTCATTATTCTTTGGAAAGAAAATTCAGTTACCTCTCTGCAATAGCCGAGTGTTGTTATCATTATTGTTATTTTGCCATAGAAACAGAGGATTGGAAAGAACTTTAAGAGATCATCTCTGTTAGCCTACACTATCAGTGTTTGGTACTAGGAGGCTTCCCTGAAGAGTCTGAAAATAAGATTGTCCTCTGTGAGTCACACTGAAACATCAACACTTCATGGAAGGATTGGAACAAAATTACCACCAAGAGGCTAAATGGCTCCAGGCCAGCCTGATGGAATACATTACCTCAACTAAGCAAAAAGGAAAGAGAAGCAAGCTGAAAAGAAGGCCAAGGAGGACCGAGAGGAGTGAACAAGACCAACCGTGTGTTCATCAACTGCAGTCCAGAGGAGATGGCCCAGCGGTCCAGAGGCAGCCGATTACCTTTAACTCCCACATCATCTAATTTATTCCTTGTGTACTGATTCCATGCTCACGATCAGGCATCTGATTCTCATTTGGCTCCCCACAAGGGAGTCCTACAGGGAGAGATTTGGCTGGGTGTTGAACAGAAGCGTCCAGTCTCCTCGGTATTCCATTTTTTTTTCATTACAAATCCATACCCTGGCATCCAGGTTTATAATCTGACTCTCCATGTTCCCTGCCTACTGAAATGTCCCTGCCAGGCCATCCTATCCCTCCAGCAGTGACTTTTCTTATTTTGAGTTAATTTAATGGTATTTTGATGGTAGATCTCTATCTCACAGACTCTGATTATATTTGAGATCAGACTGTGCTGATAAATCAAGTTCTACCGAAAGAATCTGACTTTGAATTGCAGGAAACTCATTAAGGGGATGTCAGATATCAGGAGAGACAGCATTTAAGACTTCTCCACATCATGTAATTTCATCTTCCAGAATCTGATGCAAACCAAGCTCCCTTTTCCTTTCTGAAACTTGTAAACCTTATGCACGGGCAAGCATTTCATCTCAACTACCCGGAGAATCTGCTTCAGAGAAAAATCTCTACTAAATCCTAAGTGAAGCCTGATGTCTGTTTTCATACTTTCTCATTAAAAATGAAAATTTCAAGGCAGCTCAAAATTATTTTTATTTTCTCAGGGATCACTTTTTTATACACCTTTCTCTCGCATATATAACCCCAATTATATTTTTCTTTCTCAGATCATTCATACCTTTTTTGGAAGAAAAAATTCTCTGAACCATGCCTACACATATTTTATACATTTTTACTTGAGTGGGTTCTGTCTCTGTCTGGAGGTAACACTCAAAACAGGGCAATAGCAAAGCTGAACTGGTGAAAAAAACAGTTCTTACAAAAACTCTGAGTATATACTTTCACAATTCTTACCTCCAAACGTGATTTATTCACATTAGTCTATGTTACATTAGATCTTTGTTTTCAATATTTGACAAAACTCAAATTCTTTCCATTGCATATGTATCTGATCTATATAAAATGCTCTGGAATATTCTGCATAATATTATATTTCAATTTTAACTTTTTCTGACTTTCCTATGTCCCTTTTAATCTCAAAATCTCTAGCAGTTAATAATTTTGAAATTTCCAATCAACTTTTCATTTTTTCCTCCCTAATTATTCTTCCCACAAAGCCTATTTTCAAATTTAATAACAAGTACTTACTGAATCTAAGTAATTTGATTTGTTTGAATTTTAAATAAGCTCAGGGTCTTGTTACTTTCAAGAAGTCTGTTCTAAGCACTAGGTAAATTCGTCAGAACTGACCTATCCCTCATATCAGCATTTAAAAAGAACACATAACTCCTGTGGATGATTTCAGACCAACACACACACACATACACACATACACACACACACACACACACACACACACAGATACAGATGGTGAGTACCTTGTTTAATCTGAGTATTTTCATCTAAACGCAGACTTGAAGGAGAAAAATAAATTACCCAGAAATAGAGGGAGCAAAGAAGCAATTGCAATTGATATCTTATAACTTCATTATCAGGCTTAGAGGACAATTTAAATGTTGGTAACGCCTATATCTAGAAAGAAATTTTAAAACATCCAAAGACAAATATGCATTTTAAAATCATCTATTACATTAATCTACCTTTTTGATATTTCTTATGAGCTTGAATAATATGTCTAGTTATTACAAAATTCAAGTCATTTGTGAAATCTATGACATCTATGTGCAATGACTATCAATTAAGAAGTAAATGTTTCTTAGTTAATACTATTTCACTAATATTTCCTATTTCACCTGAGAACCTCATAAATTATTTTACCAGTTCTTTTCATGCAAATTCATAAGAGTTTGAGTTTTGTCAAATATTGGCATAAGGCTTACAGAACTGAACTTTTGTCTGCCTACAGAAATGTCCCTGCCAGGCCATCCTGTCCCTCCAGCAGTGACTTTTCTTATTTTAAGTTAATTTAATGGTATTTTGATTGCAGATCTCTATCTCACCGACTCTGATTCAAGTTCCCTTTTATAAACTTCAACATTTCACATTGTCAATTAATTTTGCTGCTTTGATTACCATTTTGATGTTTAGAAAGAGAAACAAAATGAAAAATGGTTTCTAGATGGCTACCTTCTGAAAATAAAGATTAGCAGACTTTAACATTTGTGCCAAGCAAAAGGTATAATGGCATGAAATTTGGAAAGACTGTGTTCAACTGCTGGCCACAACTGCCGAACTGCAGATTTGTGTTCTTGGTGCATGTTCTAGGTAGGTCCCTGTCCACATTACTCTCATCTCCTCCCAAGGCCTCTCGTGGGCTCAGTGCTCCCTCTCCCACCACCCAGGGTGGCTCCTATCTTGGTGTTTCCTTCATGTCCTCATCCTTTCCTTGTACAACACCAAACTCAACAGAGTTATTTTTCTCTTGACAGTAACCTATCCCCTTCCCGAGAGAAAAAAACCTCTTCTGTCTCTGATGAACACATTTTATGTTTGCATCAGTGTCTTGCTATCCACCTCTCAGGTGCTGCCCCTTCTGACTTACCTGGAAATCTCTGACTTTTCTCATCCTAACAGGGTTTCTGAAATTTATAAGGTAATTAGTAAGCATATTAATAGAGTAAAAATGCAATGTAGAATATGTCACTTGTATTAGACTTCAGAAGGGAAATTTCTTCTGAAAAATCAAAAACTAAGTAAAAGAAAGGAAATATCAACATTTTGTTTCCATATTTTATGTCTGAAAAGAAAGGGCTAACCTTTTGCAACATTTTTCAATTTCATCAATATGCAATTTGCATGTTGTGTTTGAAATCAAAAACATGAAAACCAAGTGCTCTGTAGGAACAGAGGCATGTTTTATTTCCTTCACCTCAAATGTTTTTCAATAAGGTTTCAAACAAATTGTCATCTAAACCAAATTTTTAATACCTTTGTCAAGGCCAAATTGAGAATATTGGAAAAATAAATAAATAGATAAGGATTCAGGGAGAAGCTTTTGTAGCTCCCTGGACCTGTTGCTTAACGAAGCTGCTCTGACCTTCCTTTTTAATTATACTGAAGCCATATTAATGCTGCAGTCTAGGAAAATTAAAACTGTCTCAGTTGCTCTCCTTATCATGTGACCTAATTTTCTTTCCATGCTCCCTTTCAACTTCTTGGTGGGAAATATGAGGGGCTAACGGCACACAAACCTGTATTTTGGTATTGGGATTAAACTATGGTTTAGATACAAGGTATTCCCCAAAAGCTTATGTGTGAAACAATGTAAGAATGTTCAGAGGTGAAATTACTGGGTACAAGAACCTGAACCTAATCTATGCATTAATCCCTTGATAGGAATTAACTGGGTGGTAACTGTAGACAGAGAGGGTGTGGGTGGAGGAGGTGGGACATTGAGGGCATGTCTTTGAGGCATATCTTGTGTCCCTGATAAGTAGAACACTCTCTCTGCTTCCCAAGACCACATTCTGAGCTGCTTTCCTTCTCCACACCTTCCGCCATGATGTTCTGCTCCACCTTGGTCCCAGAGCAACAGAGTTAGCCATCTATGGACTGAGAACTCTGAAACCATGAGCACCGAATGAACTTTTCCTTCTTATCAGGTCTTTTGGTCAAAGTGATGAAAAAGTCGACTCAACAATTGGTTTGGACTTGCAGCATGGTATTTATTTTATCCTCCGGGGGTGAATAAGCCCATTTGAAGTTATGTTTCTTCAGGTATAAAATGGAAATAGTGCCTTACGACTCAGAGTGGACATGAGTCAATATATATGAATCCCCAGGTAAGCACTTAATAAATAATACTAATACCATTTCCCTTCCTTTCATTTATGTCATTATCTAATTTTTGGACAATGATTATTAAGCATTAATAGGCAACCACATAGCAACCAAATATTTAGCCTGAATCCAGATCCTGAACAAACACACAAACAAAACCCTGATCATATTGCTTAAGAAAATTTACCATGTGGATTGAGGATCATAGTGGTTGTGACATTCCTAGTTGACAAACATGCTGAAATGCTATTCATTTTCCTACAAAACTTATGTACTCAGCCACTGGTGTTGGGAAATTATAAGCAAACACAATGGTTAATAGAATACAGAGAAGTTTCATTATTCATGGGTGGGAAAATCATAGTTTAGAAAACACAGTCTCTGAAATAAAACTTCGTATGATTTCATTCATAGGCACTTCTACAAACATGAGTTCCTTCAACTTGATTCTCTGAGCTTCTTTGATATCACCTTTAAGTGGCAGAGGAATCTGACTCAGTTCTGAGAGTCAGAGGGAAAATCCTGCAGAGTCCTTCTGATGGTGTGACAGAATTGCACTGCAGCTCTCCTGCGGGTGTAGACATGCGGCACTCTCTCATGGCCAACGGAGTTGCTTCCCTTAAGGCAAAGTTCTGAGTGAATGACTGAGTTATTGCCACATCTCTGTGGGCACATGCCATTTTGGATGAAATGTGGAATAAAGCCATTGACAGCTTTTTGGAAACCACACAAGGAAAAGGAAAGACTCTGTATTTTGACTTATCTTCCTGAGTGAAGCTGATCTACTCTATTCATTAAAATTGCCATTATTATAACCTTATAAAATTATATTTTATTTGGAAATATGTCACAGGATCCCCCAATGTACTTTCATCAGAAAGGGAAAGATAAAAGAATGAGAAGTCCCTCAACATTGAACAGGCGTATCTCTATTACCATGCCAAATAGAGGTTGATGTTCTTCCATTGAGGGAATAAATCATTGCTATTCTAGATAGAGTTCTCAGAAGACCATTTAAGAAGTAATCTTTGCCAACTGTGAGGGTGGGTTTTATGTGTCAATTTATGGACAGCATCCAGTTACTCCACCAAACACAAATCTAGGTTGTAAATGTGATTAAAATCTACAATCAGTTGACCTCATATGAAAGAGGTTATTCTAGGTAGCCTGGGTGGGCCTGTCAATCACGGAAGAGTCTTGAGTGTGGAACTGAGATTTCTTTACAGAAGAATTTCCACCTGTGGCAGCAGCTACAGCTCCTGCCTGAGTCCCAGCCTGCCTTTCCAGACATAGTGCCCTGGGTTTGCACCTGCCCAGCTAGGCCTCAATGTCACACAAGCCAATCCCTTGCAATAAACCTCTAAACATATCTTTGACTGCTTCTGTGCCTGGATAGGCCTGACTGATATACTCATAACAGAACTCTAAAGCCCATCTCCTCTAGTTCCTAAGCCTTCCCAAATAACCCTGGCTCTCTCCTCCAGATGTCACTTCTACAACAGGAAAGAGGGGCCACCCAATGCTAAACACACATACCAACACCTTAGCAATCATTATGAGTTCTAAATTTATTTAGTCTTTTATCCATGAGGTATCAGTGAAATCTCTTCAGTATTTATGAAAGTCATATACAAATGCTTTTAAAGTGTCAGTTTATATTTTAAGGCAAATAAATGATACTTAAAAATGATTAAAATGATTATCTTTGCTCTTTTTTATATTGCCTTGGCCTATAGGAGAGTATTAAGTAAATGTGGAATAGATAAGTGAGCAATTTTTAACAATAGCTAGATACTTCCAAAGGATTTCTATATTAAAACTGATTCTTCTTCTT